TATATATATATAGCAATATTGTAATACCAACAACGTTCTCATCACATTTACATTAAGTATTTTGTTAAATATTTAATTATAGTTGACTAATCTACGGTTTATCTGCTCTGATATGTCTTTAAATATAGATTGTGCGCTTAGTTTAGTGCTTAATCTGGCACCATTTTACTGAGTTATAGTGTGCATGTTTTATTAATAGCCTACATAAATCAATCATTTAACACATACACATCGATTAGACATTTTTACAATCTGCGATTTCTCAACTGAATACACTTTGTTCAAGCTCTTTGTAGGCGCAAGCATTCCAGTTAATTGAAATGACTTTAATGTCTCCAATTAGCCCCCCTAACACCGACAAAGCGACCCATAAAAGTATATTTGTCAACATTTCTGTTTAACAATTTAGCAGGAATTGCACCTGGAATTGAAAATGGGGTGAGATCCGCACCTGGAGGGCGCGTGTGTTTAATCTTTCCTTGGCCCGGAGGTCAGCGGATGCAGGTCACGCAAGATGCAGCGTTGCCGCAGCAACCGGAGCTTTAGCGAGACAGTAGATATTTCAGTCAGATAAATACAATTACTGAGGGTTATCAGACTGCCGGTGCGATCATCCAGCAGCCTCTGTTAGAGGAAATAGTTCAACTCCCATAAAGAAATTGTCACAGAAGAAAGACCGCCAGACGTTGCCCAGAGGGTAAGCGGAAAAATGAAAGAGATAATAAAAGGAACCTAACATTCACTGTAATATCTGGAATTGAAATATGTTTTTTTTCGTCCACAACATGTCTTTAAACTCCATCTCCTTCTTTCTCATATGTGCCTCACTACCCCCTCCTTTTCTATCTTTCTTTTAAAACCCTTATTTAAAGTTAATCATGTTCTTCATTAGATCAAACCAGGCAGCTTGCTGAGACAGAGTCCTTGTAAGTGCTGCCTGTCTTTTATACTCTAGTTGCCATATTAATTTAACTTGTCTGGTCCCTTGGTGCCATGACAATGTGGGCCTAATTGAGATGAACACTTGCTTCCAAAAGGGTCTGGCTGCAGCTGGCGCTTGCACTCTCAGACGTGCATTCTCAGACTTGCACTCTCAGACACTTGCACTTCCGCTAGCGACGTCACTTGCAGTCTTTTTTATTTTTTATTTTGTTCTATTTATTGATTATTTTTGTTTGAATCTCTCAACATTTTACAACAGTAGCCAGGTGCTGAAGACAAGAAAAAATAAACTAAATTACGAAGTCACTTGCAATCGCCACTTGCACTCTCCATACCTGCGACGTCACTTGCAATCGACACAAATCGTGCGTGTTGCCAATGGAGACAAGACGCTGTGGTGGTGATTTAATGATTATTTATTTTATTTATTTATTTAGAAGTCGTGGCCTAATGGTTAGAGAGTCGGACTCGTAACCCAAGGTTGCGGGTTCGTGTCTAGTACCGGCAGGGATTGTAGGTGGGGGGAGTGAATGTACAGCGCTCTCTCCCACCTTCAATACCACGACTGAGGTGTCCTTGAGCAAGGCACCGAACCCCCAACTGCTCCCCGGG